AGAAAAAGTCTCAACAATTATGTTGGTGAGCTCATAAGTAGTTATTTGAGTAAATGCATGTCATTCGAAAGTTCGCGTTTGTTTTCCAGACAATCCGATATTTTCTTATAAAATGAGTTATGAATCGATGTTGTATAAAATGGATGTATTTGGACCACGAAAATCCTATATTTTCCTAAAAGTGAGAAGTAGTCTTAAATCTCCAAGACTGTAATTTGTAAGTAAATATGACATACTTATACTGAAAATGCATAGTTTTATTAGTGAACAAAACTATAGGAAGCTTGTATTTTTACGTAAAATAATTGTAATATTACTTTTCCCGTAAAACATAATACCATAATAATTGTCTATCCTGTGAGTTTTCATAACCGTACTAAGATGAATTTGCCTTCAGCGACGTTCTTCAGGCGTTGAAATGTTATGACACTTGTCACCCTTAACATGCCGGTCCGGCTGTAGCTAACAGCCAGGGTGCGAGATCATCAGTCCCGTATAGATCTATACACACTTATCACGTTCTCCGGACGGAGACTCTGGTTATAAAACAGGGCTTTCTTGTATACCTTGATAGGTACGATGAAGAAGAATGACTCACATATTCTCAATTAAGTCACGTATTTTTGAAATGAATGTGTTTGTGTACGAAATGATTACCCTTTTTACTATGTTGATAAAGGTATAACAATGATTTGTATTTTCTTATATATAAGTAATGTTATAGTTGAAATGGTTACCCTTGTCAAGATGTGTTATACAAACATAATAATAAAACATATTTTTATTTACAAACATACTTCATCCCGAGAGGGTAAAAATGGTTTCGTAAGATGTTTTGCATGCTAACATTTTCGTATGATAGTTATAACAACAGCAAGGAATTTATAGTAAAAGATTGATGTTTTCACACGATTTTAACCGTGTGTTTACTTGTACCCCCCCCTAAAAGTGTTTAAAAGCATTTAAAAGCATTTGAAAGTGTAGTGATAGGGGTATGAACTCACTTGGTAAAAGTGGCGGTTTGATGACGACGATGTTTAACTCGGGCAACACTTCGACTGGAAAGAAGCAAGTTTCTCGGAACTTCGGGACTTCGGGCTTTCGTCAGGGCTTGGACACGTAACCGGGGCGTCGGGGTAGTTTCGAGGGGCTCGAAAGTGAGAAAATATGGGAGAGAAGTTGTAAATTGGCAAATAAGTTCGGAAGCCTCGCATGCTTATTTATAGGGTGGGAACCGACCTTGTACGCTGGGCGTACCTCCGAAGAACGTCGGGCGTTCCCGGTACGCTGGGCGTACTCGTGTACGCGGTGCGTACGTCATGCATGACGTCTTCATCGGATACCGGACTTCGGATAGGACGGGCTAGAAGGCAATAAGGGAGACGTGGTCGATCCGAGACCCTGCATTGTGTACGCTGGGCGTACCCTCGTACGTCGGGGCGTACCCCCTCGATTTGTGTGCCCCAATCTTCTAAAATCAGTAACGTTCGCATACGAGCTCCGTTTTTTACGTTCTTTATATCCACGCGTAGGTGAGAACATACTCTACAACTTTCATTTAGACTTCGTCGGCAATTTTGACTTTATTTTTAATTATATATTTTTAATTGGCCGGGACAGGAAAAGTCCGTTAAAAATTCATAACTTCTTCATCCGACGTCCGTTTTCGTCTTTCTTTTTACCGTTGTACTACTATTGTTGAGATCTTCAATTCTCGTTTAGGTCGCGTCGGCTAAAAAATCACTCGATCTTTATTTCGAGTTTTTAGCTGTCTACTGCTATTCTGAAACTTAGAAAAATCATAACTTCCTCATACGAAGTCAGATTTGGACGTTCTTTTATGTACGCTTACGGTTTAGTGATATCTACGACTTTCATTTAGATACATAAGGCTAAAATGTATTTTATTGAAATTTTGCGTTTTACGCTTAACAGTGTTTTACCGGTTTTGTTGCGGATTTTCGATTGGTCATAACTCATTCGTTATAACTCGGATTTTTGTGTTCTTTATATTTTTGAAAACCTTGTTACGATATCTACCACTTAGTACATCCAAATTGAGGGTTTTTGCACATTTCATTTTTGACGCTATTTTTATTATCTCAAAAGTAGGTTACAATACTTGACTTTAGATCGTTATATTGATTTGAAAAATCGAGTTGTTACACCGCATTCTTCGGGATGAATCATTTATGTGTCGCGATGTGATACTCTATGGATCACGACGTGACACTCTATGGGCCACGATGTGACACCTACTCAGATGTAAAACCCTAATTTCAGACTTATACCCTATTTGAAGGAAGTGAGGGGCCATTGTTTCCTTCACCCTCAGCCTCCAGCACCTCCAAATGACCCTTTGGTCAAACCCTAGCTCTCTTGAAGCTTTTGAGCTCATTTTTGCAAGCTTTGGTGGTTTTGAAGGAAGGAGAAGAAGTTTTGGTGCCTAGATCCTCCAAGCAATCCCTCATCATCCTTGTATGTGGCTTCTGGACTTTTTACAAGTCCTCAAACTCTCATCTTTTTGTTGTATGCCTCTTAGATCTAAGTTTTATGCCATATGTTTCCCCACTTTTGAAGATGGAATGAGTAGAAAAGATAAAGTTTCAACTTTATGACCCCTCTAAGTCCCAAGAGCATTATATCACATAGATCTAGGATGTGGTTGTGATTTGGGCACCTTGCATGATTTTTTGATTATATTGCATCTTTTGACCTAGGTTTGGGAAAGGACATGCATGGGGCATGCATGTCCATAAGGTTTATATTTTTAGGGATCATTAGGTCCCTAAAACCCTTCTAGAAATTTTGGATTGAAGACTTTATGAATTAAGTGCTTAATGGTTGATTTCGTGCATTAAAGTTGCCATTAAGGACCTTAGACTTGAGATCTTGGGTTAGAGGGATGTCTTAATGGATAAAGTTGGAAACTTTATCCATTAAGATCGTGGGAAGAATAAGATATGAGCTTTGGAGCTCATGGAATCGATGGAAAATGGTTGAATTCATTAAGCTAAGATAACCAGCTTTCACGACGTGACATCCCAGTTGTCACGACGTGACGACTGGGGTTTTCCTCGATTAACTTAGACTGATTTCTTCACGACTTGATGACCTATACATCACGATGTGACGATGGTTTGGATCGAGATTAAGTTGAGCTGACTGAGTTGAATCGTGACTGAGTGGGACCGGGTTGAGTCCGTTTCCCACAACGTGACCATGAGTTGGTCACGACGTGAGGGTCAGCTAATGGAAGTGTTTGTTGGATTAGGTGTCTAAGCTATTAACAAAATTATTATAAACTTAAATTATTAGCAAAGTCATTTTGGGTTGCCCTCAAACCTAGTAATTGGCTTGAATGTTTTTTGGAGAGAAATGATGATTTGTTAATTTATTGTATGATTAATAGATTAATTAGAAATCAAAATAAATAATTTATTAATATGTTTTTAAAAAAAATATTAATTAGAAATTATATTATTTAGTAAGAATTAATCAAAAATTAATTGGAATTAATTTGGGGATTTATTGGATTAATTAAAAGTAGAATGACTAAAAGTGTCAATGTCCAAAAGTTGAACATTGACTGATTCTAGAACCTCCCTAGGAGAGGGGACGTTTCTAGAGGGGTTTATGGAGCTTTTCTAGGAGTTCTAGGAAGCTTAGGGTTGTTTGGGGGGAAAATAAAAGCTTAGGGTTGCTTGGGGGAAAACTTAGGTAACGAATTTTTTAGAATTTTTTTAGGAAAAGAAGGTAACGAACTTTCCAATTTGCTCACATCTAGTCACTGAATTGTTTTTCGTGCGTGATTTACCCCTGAATTATTTGAAATTGTAACTGGTCATAAGGGTAAAATGTGAACATTTCAAATAATTCATGAGTAAATCAAGCACGAAAAAAAAGTTTAGTGACTAAATATGAACTAATTGAAAGTTTGTTACCATTTCAAGTCATTATCATTTTTTTATAATCACCCCTTAGTTTATTTTTCTTATTGGTAGCAATTACTTTGATTAATAATTTTGATTTCAGTCGCTATGATTTGTTTTAATGTTGTGTTTGTAAGGAGTATTACAGAATAGAATGCATATCACATAACCATGTTTTAGTTCATTACTTTAATCCTAGTCAATGAGATAAACTTTTAACTAGAGTTTCTTTATTCACGTATGAGTGAAATGTCAACCCACAAAGAAGAAATAAATCAGTAGAGTTTCATAAAGGCAAAAGGACACATATACGAGCAATAAAACGAAAAATAGATTGAAAATCAAAAGGAGCATAGTGAGAATGTACATATAGAACTAACATACAAATAGAAAAGGTAGATCAAGTAATAACTATGAAGAAAAGTATCGTCAAAACAAGTTGAAAATAAAAACAGCGAAAACTAGGCAAAATGCACAAACAATGTAAATGCATCTAGCACCTAGACTACTCATGTACTACTCCACAGCCTTGAACTTATGCATCAACACTCTTTAATCAAAGCTCGTGTGATTGTAAAGAGAAAAACCTCATACCTCTTTATCATACGTTCTCTCTTTCTCGTACAATCTACAACAACCGTCTGCACCCTTTGGATTGAAAACCTTTGTCTATGTCTGAAACCACCACAATCTTTGTTTCTTCAATTCCTATGTGATTAAAGTCGCTTTTATTGTATTTGTAACTGTGGTTTCTAGTACCTTACACAATAAAGATATATCACACCATTGCTACAACATCCTTATTTTTGTGACCTTCATATTTAGTGTGTGCTCATTCTTAATAACATTTAGAACCATTTACGGGATAATGGTTTGAAAGGGTAACAAACTTTCAATTTTCTTCATATTTAGTCATTAAACTTTTTTCGTACATGTAAGGATAAAATGGGAAGAATTTCAATTAATTTAGAATAAATCAAAAACTAAAAAAAAAAAAAAAAAAATTCAATCTAACCACTCAACATGAACAAAGTTGTGTTACCCTCTCGTATCATTTTTCCAAGATATAAAAGGGGTTTTGCATTGCAAACTGCAAACCGATATTCAAAGTTCAAACGCTCAGTTGAGAGCAACTGGATTTTAGGAGATGGGGATATTGGCATGCTTCGGAGTTCTGATGCCCTTTCCGTTCTACTATTGGCTATGGAATCACCCACAAACATGGGTGAATCTCTGCGGAAAAGGTCGAGACCCTTCCAAAATCATGGCTATGGTTTCTCATTTTCTCAAGCTGGTTCAGTTTGCGTCGCTCTTCTCCGTTTCAACCTTCTCATGGCCTCCTCCTCTCTACTTCTGGCCCCTCTTCTTACTCGGCCAGTTTCTTAACTTCAGGTCGGTACACTTATGCTCTGAACCTCTAGTTAATACGAAATAGCAGTTAGGGTGAAGTTTTGGGATGATTTTTGACTTTATTGGTAATTAAATTGCAACTTAGGTTTAGTTTAGGGTTTGCTAAGATCTTATAGACGCTCTACAATTGATGATTATAAGACTTCTACAATAACGTCTGTGTGCATAAGCTGCGTGTTCATTGTAAGACAAACATGAGTGTGAATGTGATTCTTTTCATAACAAAGGTTAGCATGTGCTGGTAAATTAGGAGGAGCATGTTTAAACATTGATTCATGATTCATCCAAGTGTAACTGTGTTATCATATAATTTAATATTTGAAACATCAACTGATTACTCGGATTCTAAGGTCTTTTTTGGATGATGAATTAATTACAGGGTATATCAGTTGCTTGGTGAGTCAGGCACTTACTATGGTGTACGCTTTGGGAAGAATATACCTTGGGTCACTGAGTTCCCTTTTGGGACAATAAATGATCCTCAGTATGTAGGTAGCATTATGAGCCTTCTAGCTTGCATACCATGGGTTCCCTTCTTGTATATCTTCCTCTGGGTTTTAGGCTACATTTTCATGATCCATGTTGAATCAAAGGAGGATCCAGCTTCTCGTGCCAACCCACTTTCTTGAAATCCCGACTGATTTCAAGAACAAGGATTCAAATTTGTTATTCCAGATAGATTCATGTTCTGTTTTTCATTGTCCTCCAATTTTGATGTTGTTGTATGCATTAATAAATTTTCTCTAGTGTTTAACTGTTTAAGTTTGACTCATGAATGCAACTTAGAGAAATTCATACCTTTCTCCTTTTCTTTTTTTTCAAAATGAGACTCTGGTATGGTCAAGGAAGTAGTACTTATCTTTATGAAGTTGAATTTGTTAGAGGTTTATATTTCATAAGGACTAAAATCTAAAGTCAATAAAAAGGAATGTACTTCTGTGACACTCTATTTCAAAAATGGTACCCAATTATAGCTCTGGTAATTGCTTTGTATATGTATGACATTGCTATGATTGGTTTGTTTTTTCAAAGTACAAAGCTATAGTAAGAAGAAATGAAAATAGGATACATAATACACAAATGAATGAAAGGTACATTTCCATTTTTTGCATTTGACCATAAATTAAACAAACAAATCAAAGTATGTGTGCTATTCTTTTGCATCTGCCCCTCTCATGAAAACTAAGAATGAACATGTAAATTTAGTAACTACACATATGAGAAAACAGATGCTATATATGCAAATATGCAATTGTATCTTGTGAAGCTAGATTTTATCAACAAATTTTGATATCAAATATACAGTTAAATGACAGAAGTATTTAAACAAAAGAAAAGGTATGCTGTTGATTCTAGGCAATAGCGAGTGGCATCTCAAATATCTGGGCTGCACTTTTGACAGCATTAGTGTCAATATCTACCAACTTCCCTGTCTTTGATGAAGCTACAATGCATTTACTGTCTTTTATGTTTGGAAGAAACAATTTTGCTTTCTCTTCAGACCCAAACAATGCCACACTGCAACAGATTTAAAGTCAAAAAAGTTTGACCAGTAAGTCATTACCATTACTGTTCTTTGATTCATCATAAAAGTTGACTTTTTTTTTTTAATGGAGAAACTCACCAGGGTTTTTCACGTGCGATTGCTAGTTGTATTGCTGCTGTGTTTGTAGATATAACCCCAGCAGAGTCATTAATAAAAGCAGCCAACTGCAAGAAATAGCAATGAACTTTAATTCATTTGTTTATTATAGCATCTTACATTTATATAAAGAAATGAAGGTAGGATGCTATAATAAATGAAAGTATGTTGTTATTTCTTGCATTTAGGCCTAAAATGTTGTTTGGATAAATGAAGTTTGAAAAGTATTTGAGAAAATGACAACATACTTAGGGAAGTGAAGGGAAAAAAAAAAAAAGTAAACGAGGGAAAACTTCTAAAAAGTTAGGACTTAATATGGGTAGTTCCATTTCACTTTGTTTTGTTTTTATTAGGTCGTGCTTTATACAATTATACTTTAAGTAAAAAGTTAACATTGATGGATAGCTATAGCTTAGTGGATTAAAGGAGCTGTTTCTTTTCTTTTCCCCATTAATAACTGTATTGTAAAGTGCTGAAATGGTAATGGTTTATGAATGAATAGAATATTGTATACATAAGGTTTGTTAAATAGACCATTTGAATAAGACTAAGTTGACTATTTTACCTTTATGTTGCAAAACAACAAATTTCACAATATTCATCAATTGCAACGTGAGAGGAGTTGGGAGGAGAGAGAAATTGAAACCTGTCCGGGTGTGGTGATGAATATTATATTGGCATCATCTCCTACAATTTCCTCCACATTCTCTCTTTCTTTCTCATGAGGGATGACATAGACCGGTTTGACTCCCCTATAATATATAACAACATTACAGATCAAACAAGAAACCATCACATATATATATATATATATATATATATATATATATATATATATATATATATATATATATATATGCAACAGTCTGATCACCTGATTGAGTTTGTTATCTGGGCCCATATATTTAAGGGTAGTAAACTATCGGTATCCCCCCTTGATTGCATAGAGGCTTTTGAATCGGATTGTATACCGTGTATAACAATATATTTCCCTTTCTCAACACCAATTTTGTTGTATTTGTCAGCCACAACGTCCTTTAGCTTTCTGGAAATGGATACTTTAAGCGGTGGAATTATTTGCCTTGGTACACTCCTCCCTGGCCTCGCTAGCCAATCAGTCATCTGATGGTACCTGTTGGATAAAAGATTAAATAAATGCTATAATCAATTAATCATATATCATTGTTGGGTTGTAACTTGTAAAATTTAAGTTTGGTAAGCAAAGCAAAAGAAATCCATATGAAACAAGAGTTTGTCTTAATGATAATAGTAGGCAGCAAGCAACTGACATGTTATATCCAGCCTCGGAGAGATTCAAGTGATCTGGTGTGAATGTTTCGGATAGAAGTAATCCGGCTCCTGCGGAATTCACATTTGGATATATGTAACTCACCCGCTCCCTAGCTGCTGACATGAACAAAAACGACGCATGTCCTAAACCTGCTAGTTTCGTTGAAAGCATCATATCATAGTACCTATTCTGCAAAACTACCACATATATAATCACATATCACTCCTAAAAATTATTTGTTAAAATGCTATTCAATTCTTTGCCAAGGCACAACCTAAATCATATCATAATCGTATTATTTTGGTTTGTTGCAATTTGTGACATTGCGGTTTAAGTTTTTCTTTTTAAATCACCATTTTGACAATCTAACCTTGAGTAGTCCGAGTAAATCAAGGTATTCTGCAGGCTCAGGGAAATCATCTTCTGGATCAAAAACATCCGCCCATCTCACATTCTTGTTCAGCTCAAAAGCTTGTTTCCCTCTGGCCGAGCTCAGGACATCCACCTGAACACCAGGGTATCGATCCTTAATCAGTTGGATAGTTGGGAAAAACAACAGGTTTTCATAAACCCCACCAGAAATCACAACGCAACATCTCCTAACATCACCCCTTATTTTCAACCCTAACGACATAACTTCTGGCATGAACCCTGGTGGAAACTTGAGAAACCCATACGGGTTGTCTGGATTCTCGGGTGGTCTTGGGTCCTCCGATTGCTTACCCTCAGAATACTGCGATCCATACTCCATGTCCGGGTCCTCACCTGTATCGAATGGGTCCAGCCACTCGTTTTTCTTTTTCGCATTTGCTCGAACAGTTGATGTTCGTACTGGACAATGTGGTTGACGATCTGTTGGATTGCTTAGAAAAGGAAGAGTACCGAATCGAGTGGAGGAAATTGAAGTGGGGTTTGTGAAAATTGGTGGAATGGATTTGGGTGGTAGCGAAGTGGTAGCCATTGATGAATAGTGATCAGAACTCCAAGCTTGGAGGTTGTGATTATGTCATCCGTAGATGACGAGAAAGCTGAAGAGAGGTCTATTGGGATTTGAATGTGTGGAAGATGGTTGGATAAGGGGCTTGAGAGCTCTATCATTTTAGAACAGACTTAAAACAGGACAAAACGTTGCATTTAGTTGTCAAAAATAATTTTTTTCCCTCCTTTTCATTTTTCTCTTACATATTTTCTTTTCCTTTTCTTTTCTCTACATATTTCCTTTTTCTTTTTTCTTCTTTACTTAAACCTAGAAACTAGATGTTAATGTTACAAACAAAATAATAAGGATGAACATGGGTCGGTTTTTGGCTAAAACCAAACCAAATTGTAGAAAGTTGGTTTTTCGGTTTTTAAAACCATATAGGTTCGGTTTTTACATGGTTTCGTTTTTCGATTTTTTGGGTTGGGTTTTTGGTTTTAAACTGTGGGTTTATGAGCTCCTGTTTGTTTTTTTTCTAGTTTTTGGGTTCAAACCCAGTGAAAGTACGTTGCGATAAATTGTATTGTATCTATTTTAAATATACTAAAATAAATAGTACGGATTCTAGTATTCTAAAAGCATAAAAGTGTTCAAAAGATCAAAATTTATCACCATTAATAGTATGTTGAAAATAAACATAAAGTACTAAAAGAATAAAGTCTAAAGTCTAAAACTAAAAGTTTAAAACATAATAAATAACTAGAAAGGTTACCCCCGCTACGCGGGGGCAGAAGCTTTCAATGTTGTTTGCGAATCGATAAATATGACAGACGTAGAAAGTGCAAGGATGAAAAGCCTGAACTTTGCCCCGGACCGTTTTTTTCATGTTTTTATGAAAAAGTGTAAAAGTTTTGACTGCAAGGACCAGAAGTGTCAAAATGGATAAAGAATTAAAGGGGTAGGAATTAGCAACTTTTTAGAAAATGGATCAAAGTTGTCAAATCGTTAAAGTTTTGTGGCCAAACATTAAAAATTAAAAGGTTCCTCAAAAATGTAAAAATATTGATTGTAATGACCAAAAAGTGTCAAAATGGTTAAAGAATGAGGAGCGAAGTTGCCAAAAAACATCCGATTTTATGAAAAAATGTAAAAGTTTTGACTGCAAGGACCAGAAGTGTCAAAATGGCTAAAGAATTAAAGGGGTAGGAATTTGCAACTTTTTAGAAAAGGGATCAAAGTTGTCAAACCGTTAAAGTTTTGTGGCCAAACTTAAATATTAAAAGGTTCCTAAAAAGTGTAAAAACATTGGTTGCAAGGACCAAAAGTGTCAAAATGGTTAAAGAATGAGGAGCAAAGTTGCCAAAAAACATCCAAATTTATTATTCCTAACTTTGAAGCCCAATAATAATACAGGGACCAATTCTGCCAAAAAATGACAAGTTTACTATTCCTTTTCTTCATAACTTTAATATATATACTAGAAAAGATTCCCCGGCGTTGCCGGGGTCGGAAGGTATTGCTTTGTAAAGTAAAGTAGAATGTTGGTTGCTTTTTGTCCGTTAATGTGATGGTAATTTGATCTTTTCAGGTAGTAGGGACTGAATTTGTCACCATGGGTAAACCATATGGACCATTTATGTAATTTTGGCGGTTGTGGTGGTGGTGGTGATGGCAGATGGTGGGTGGGTTTATGGTATTGGATGGGTATTTTCTAATAAATAAAAGATTAATTTAAAACCAAAAAGAGAATGTTAAATCTGGTAAAGCACAGAGACCAATCGTGTAATTTTGTCTAACAATAATATAATGTTGAGGGACCATTTCTGCCAAAAGACTAAATACTAATAATATGTAATAAAAGGCGAGGGTTATGAAAAATTCAAACCAAAGTGAAAGGGTTGTTTGTGAACAAAAGCATAAAGATGAAGGGTCAATGTTGTAAGTTGGAGGACCAAATTGACAAAAAAAAGTGTCACTTTACTGTTAAAATCTTTCATAACTTTAATATATATATATATATATATATATATATATATATATATATATATATATATATATATATATATATATAATAATGTAATTTTGGCGGTGGCGGTGGTGGTGGTGATGGCAGATGGTGGGTGGGTTTATAGTATTGGGTGGATATTTTCTAATAAATAAAACATTAATTTAAAACCAAAAAGAGAATGTTAAATCTGGTAAACCACACGGACCAATCGTGTAATTTTGTCTAACAATAATAATAATAATGATGAGGGACCATTTCTGCCAAAAGACTAAATACTAATAATATGTAATAAAAGACGAAGGTTATGAAAAATTCAAACCAAAGTGAAAGGGTTGTTTGTGAACAAAAGCATAAAGATGAAGGGTCAATGTTGTAAGTTGGAGGACCAAAATTGACAAAAAAAGGTGTCACTTTACTGTTAAAATCTTTCATAACTTTAATATATATATATATATATATATATATATATATATATATAATGTAATTTTGGCGGTGGTGGTGGTGGTGGTGATGGCAGATGGTGGGTGGGTTTATGGTATTGGATGTGTATTTTCTAATAAATAAAACATTAATTTAAAACCAAAAAGAGAATGTTAAATCTGGTAAACCACAGGGACCAATCGTCTAATTTTGTCTAACAATAATAATAATAATGAAGAGGGACCATTTCTGCCAAAAAACTAAATACTAATAATATGTAATAAAAGGCGAGGGTTATGAAAAATTCAAACCAAAGTGAAAGGGTTGTTTGTGAACAAAAGCATAAGATGAAGGGTCAATGTTGTAAGTTGGAGGACCAAAATTGACAAAAAAGTGCCACTTTACTGTTAAAATCTTTCATAACTTTAATATATATATAATAATAATGATGAGGGACCATTTCTGCCAAAAGACTAAAGACTAATAATATGTAATAAAAGGCGAGGGTTATGAAAAATTCAAACCAAAGTGAAAGGGTTGTTTGTGAACAAAAGCATAAAGATGAAGGGTCAATGTTGTAAGTTGGAGGACCAAAATTGACAAAAAAGTTGCCACTTTACTGTTAAAATCTTTCATAACTTTAATATAATATATATATATATATATATATATATATATATATATATATAATGTAATTTTGGCGGTGGTGGTGGTGGTGGTGATGGCAGATGGTGGGTGAGTTTATGGTATTGGGTGGGTATTTTCTAATAAATAAAACATTAATTTAAAACCAAAAAGAGAATGTTAAATCTGGTAAACCACAGGGACCAATCGTGTAATTTTGTCTAACAATAATAATAATAATGATGAGGGACCATTTCTGCCAAAAGACTAAATACTAATAATATGTAATAAAAGGCGAGGGTTATGAAAAATTCAAACCAAAGTGAAAGGGTTGTTTGTGAACAAAAGCATAAAGATGAAGGGTCAATGTTGTAAGTTGGAGGACCAAAATTGACAAAAAAGGTGCCACTTTACTGTTAAAATCTTTCATAACTTTAATATATATATAATAAAAATGATGATGGACCATTTCTGCCAAAAGACTAAATACTAATAATATGTAATAAAAGGCGAGGGTTATGAAAAATTCAAACCAAAGTGAAAGGGTTGTTTGTGAACAAAAGCATAAAGATGAAGGGTCAATGTTGTAAGTTGGAGGACCAAAATTGACAAAAAAGGTGCCACTTTACTGTTAAAATCTTTCATAACTTTAATATATATATAATAATAATGATGAGGGACCATTTCTGCCAAAAGACTAAAGACTAATAATATGTAATAAAAGGCGAGGGTTATGAATAATTCAAACCAAAGTGAAAGGGTTGTTTGTGAACAAAAGCATAAAGATGAAGGGTCAATGTTGTAAGTTGGAGGACCAAAATTGACAAAAAAGGTGCCAGTTTACTGTTAAAATCTTTCATAACTTTAATATATATATAATAATAATGATGAGGGACCATTTATGCCAAAAGACTAAATACTAATAATATGTAATAAAAGGCGAGGGTTATGAAAAATTCAAACCAAAGTGAAAAGGTTGTTTGTGAACAAAAGCATAAAGATGAAGGGTCAATGTTGTAAGTTGGAGGACCAAAATTGACAAAAAAGGTGTCACTTTACTGTTAAAATCTTTCATAACTTTAATATATATATAATAATAATGATGAGGGACCATTTCTGCCAAAAGACTAAAGACTAATAATATGTAATAAAAGGCGAGGGTTATGAAAAATTCAAACCAAAGTGAAAGGGTTGTTTGTGAACAAAAACATAAAGATGAAGGGTAAATGTTGTAAGTTGGAGGACCAAAATTGACAAAAAATGTGCCACTTTACTGTTAAAATATTTCATAACTTTAATATATATATATAATAATAATGATGAGGGACCATTTCTGCCAAAAGACTAAATACTAATAATATGTAATAAAAGGCGAGGGTTATGAAAAATTCAAACCAAAGTGAAAGGGCTGTTTGTGAACAAAAGCATAAAGATGAAGGGTCAATGTTGTAAGTTGGAGGACCAAAATTGACTATATAATATATATGTGGGTCGGTTCGATTTTTATGAGCGGTTTTATATGTTAAAACCCAACCAAACTGTTTTTTCGGTTTTTGTAAAATTAAAACCTAAACCGTTGGTTATTGCTTTGGTTTCGGTTTCGGTTATGTCGGTTTTTTTCGGGTTTTCGGTTTGGTTTTTACTCATCCCTACAAAATAATAATGAAAGTGCCTATCATCGATCACTTTAGCTTTTCATTAAATTTCATTAAATACATACTATCACCTTAAATTCTTTCCGATCAATTACCAAATGTTTTAAGATACTTATGGATTTTAAATCATGATCATGTGCATTCATGTTTTTGGTGAGTTGAGATTCGTATGGTTCGGATACCTTAGATAACTTAGATATCCAATGGAGAGAGTCGAGAATGTTCGAGAAAGTCGAAAATGTTTGAGAAATACTGAAAATATTCAATGAAGTTTGAGAGTGATTAGTTTGTTGGAAACAGTTAGAGTATTGTAGCCACATGTACTTTGTGCTAACTTGGTTAGAATTGATAAGGGGTCGATTTGGCTTGGGCTCGAGTTCAACATATTTATTAAATGAGTTCAAAATCTCAATCTAAGCCAACATATTTAGTAAAATGGGTTGAGATTTTCAACCAAACTCAACTTATTAAATT